TAGATGCATTGTTAAGGTTGGCGGCATCGTCAACCCCAGTAAAGCAATCCTGCAAAAGATCTTCTTCACTTGGGACTCTGCTCGGATCATGCATTCGCAGAGCTCGAGCTTCACTTATTGTCTCCTCGAAATAAGATGGTAAAGAAGGAGAGTGACCTATTTTCATGGCCCCGAGCAAGTTACTCGGGGCACTCTATTCGATCTCGGGGATCTCGGTACTTATCCCCTTGGGTTTGATTATCGAAGGCGGTGGAATAATCTTAACCCCAGGTGATTCAGGGGCTTTGCCTGAGTCTTCCTTCGGAGTTTCCTCACCACGAGGCAAGGTCTTTGGTTCGGAGGGTTTGGAAGCCTCAACTGGTTTCCTAGTTCAGGTCACCAGCGTCGATTCTTCGCCCTTGTTTCCTTCATCATCCAGAAACTGGTGGTCCGATTCTACGTCCACGTGGATAACATTCCTCCTGCTTCTTCGATTATGAGCCTTTTTGTCCTGGGGGTCTTTAGGTATCGAAACCCTTTTTCTCTTATTATATTTCCCCGATTCGACTCGATCTCTTCCCTAGGGTGGGCCGACCTTATCTCAGAGAAATCCCCAATGCCTGCATAAATTAAAAATTGAATGTGAGGAAACAAAAGGCTTTAGTAAAGAAGGAAAGCATCAAAAAACTTACAAAGAAAAACTCACCGTAGTGTTTGGCTTCCCATTTTCCACTCGACAAGTCACACTATTTGCGATCGTTATACGAAGAGGTCGCACCTTACTTCCTGACCTAGTCTTCGAGGTCAGGGATCGCATGGGGCATCCATGCAATAGCTGCAAAAAGGTAAAGGCGTCATACAATGCGTAAACGGAGTACAAATGGATACCAGGAAAAAGATTTCACTTACGATCGGGATTCCATTTCTCTGGAATTGGCATTTTCTCCTTAGGGATGACGTCTTAGGTCCTCACTCAGATGAACCGGCTCATCTAGCCTCGGTTTTTGTCCTTATCATTTCTGGCAAAGAAGGCTTTGCTCGATCGATGTTAGATCTTAATCAATCCTCGAAAAAGCTGAGGTCGATACAATCGTATGAGGTGATTGAGGGTGAACTCCAGTCCCTTGGCCTTGCTGGAGAAATATCGGAGCATGATTACTATGTGCCAAAGGGAGGACTTGATGTCTTTTGCAGAAGTCAATCACAACCGGATCAACTGGACCCAGTGTGAAAGGGTAAGTGTATACACTTAGGAACCCATCCACGTGGGTGGTGACATTCTCCTTGGCGGTCGGGATCTGTACACGACCTCATCCCCCCAGCCACAATCCTTTTTCACAGCCTCGAGGTGTTTCTCCGTTATCGAATAGATATACCTCAATGCATGCTCACATCGGCTTGGAACAACAGGGGGGATTTCAAGGTTGAAGTCTTTCTTTATGACGCAAGAAACAGGAACGATCTCGTGAAGGGTTGGCGCTTTGTCACCGGCCAGACGGGTGGAAGAGGAGGAAGCCTTTTCTTTTTGAGGAACCATTTTAGAGGTTTTTTCCATGTTTTTAGGTGTATAGATACGGAAGGTGGCAGAGTTTAGCGTTTTCCGGCACTAAAAGGACGGTAGAAGCAGATGGTGAAAGAAAGAGATGAAGAGAGGGAAAAATCAGAGAAATTGCAAGAAGGAAGTAAAGCCTCTAATTCAAATGAGGAGCCCGTATTTATAGATAAGCTGCGACGGTTCAGCGACATTAGTGGCCGACCGTTACTGGCACACATTTAATGTCTTGGGGATGCGAACCGACGGGACGTTTCGATCACCTCGAGTGCTTACGTCACAGGAATGACATCATCATCAGGGACTCCGAATAAACAAGGCTCAAATCGTTTCTTATCATCTTATTCTAAGAAACGCGGGGACTATCTGTATACGGTCAAAATCAGGTAGGCTCGATTTAGTGGTCTCGAGGAACCACTTCAGGAGTAAGTCCGAAGTACACTGGGTTTGAGGCCGATGGTAGAGTTTGATGTTCGAAGATCAAAGTAACCGATGAATGTCAAGGCCGAACGTGACCGGCCTCGAGATAATGCCGTTGTGGTTTTGTAATAGAAAGAGCAATAATCCCGCCACGTCCCCGAGATCATGGCGTAAATTCCGGAATAGATTTGTACAAGTTAGTACGAATCCGTACTAGGCGGTTAGACAGCTGTCCCAATAAGATTCCTTACTGTAAATAGAAATGTACCTTATTTAGGGTTTCCCTACTATATAAAGGGGATCTCAATCATTTGTAACCATCATCAATCGTTGGCAAAGAATATACTCTCTTACTTTCTTGCTCATAGTTCATCATAATTGTCTCTTAACTTCATTGACTTTATTTTACTGTTCTTGTTGACCAACCTCGAGGCCATCACAGCTCGAGGTCGAGACTTGCTTAAATATTGGTTTAATTGAACTTATCTCCTTAACTTATATGTTTGATTTCTTGATTATTAATTAGTATTAAACTAAATCATATATCTTTAAAACCACAAACAAGTTTAATTATTACTCGTATTTTCGAGGTAAACAGGGATACAATTGAACCCTCTTCCTTGGTTGTGGTTCTACTACTGCTTTCATGACCTATATCTAGTAGTAGTAAAAAGAAAAAGAAAATTAAAAATGTTTCTTGGGATCAAAGTGATCCGGTAGTCTCTCAGCCGTGGCCTATGACCCGTACTCTGCAACATTTGCCATTCATTCATCAAGTTAAACAGCATATTTTGCAGCCGAAATATAACAGATAAGTTTATAAAACAAAAGGACAAATGCGGGGCAATATTTAAGAAAATAGTGATCAAAAGAAAATTTTGTTTGATTCTTTTAAGTGGCAAACCAAACGTGAGAGATAGACTCACAATATATATATATATATATATATATATATATATATATATATATTTACTCTTGTTGTTCCAGTTGAAGTTCTTAGTTTAGCTTCACTTATTATACTAGTTTATAAGAAATTTTTTGAACCTTTAGTTTTCGGCCGGATCGGAGCATACCAGAATCATATGTTGACTTATGTTAGTTTTTCTTTAATCATATTATGGAAAAGGCTTGCCATGCATTCATCTGTAGGAGTCAATCCATTATATGATATTTTCCCGGAATAAGAACATTAAATTTTTTGAAAAAATAGACATTGTTCTTGGGATGATTCGTAAAGGAAAAGAGCACATTCAACAGGAATATAACTTTCCTGGAAATGTAACATTTTCCAAACCTTGCTTCACGGTTATGTAGCCTCTTCAGAAAATTATTTACTTCCTGATTCTTGGCTAAATTGTCAGTGAGATGATTGATCAAATCACGTTATTATTTTTGAGACGTATGCCCTAATCAGAAATTATTTCATATTTAATAAATTAAAGCGAACAGCGGATAACAGGAAAAAAGAACAACTTTCAAATACCCAAAAAAAAATTTCCAGTTGTTAGGCGTCGAAGCAAAGGAAGCACTGTCTTTGTTACGCATCTTTCACCATACATAAATTGACTTTAAACCCCATTATCCCCTTTCTCAGTTGCAATTTTGTTCCCAATCAACTGTGCCAGAACCTGTCTTTAAATTAACTAATTAATGGTTTTAATTGTATCAACTTTTTGAAAGAGCGAGTAATGTCATGGGCGGATCTACATTCTATATTTGGGTGTTGAAGCACCCGTTAGCCTTAATACAGTGTATGCATAGTTCTATAGAAAACTTGAGGCATTTGATATAATAAGCCAGAAAGCACCCAGTAAACAAAGAAGTTGATGGGTGCTTTGGTCAGAGAAGGGTAGTGGCTTTTAATGAAGTGATGTGGCGCGAGTTCGAACATCAATCATAAACATTTTCATTTTTGCTTTCTTCCTTTTACCCTAATGTGACGTAAAAGAAGAATCTATATTAAATTTCATTAAATTTGGCCAAGAACATGTTTTAGAGCTCAAGTCCAAATAGATGGACTTAATTTCAAGAAGCACAAGAAGAATCTATGTTAAATTTCATTAAATTTGGCCAAGACCATGTTTTAGAGATCAAGTCCAAATAGATGGACTTAATTTCAAGAAGTGCAAGAAGTCCAAGAAGCTCAAGATTGATTTCAAGAAGCCAAGATTCTTTCCTTCTTAAAATAGGATTTATTTTATCCCTTTTAGAATAAGGATTTTCCTTTTAGTAGAATTCTAGTTTCTTTTCATTGTAGAATAGGGATTTTACTTTCCTTGTCTTTAGTTATTTTACTTCCTTATTAGAATAGGAATTGTAGTCATCAAAGAAGAGACTCTAAGCCTATATAAAGGGTTCTCATGCCCTTGTAGAGTAGAATTCACATTTTTGAGCTTTACCCTAATTCAATAGAATGTTTTTCTCTATTTTGTCTTCTTTATCCTTGTTTTTGGTTCCAAGCAAGGTGGTGATAGTCTTTATCTTGTTTTCAATTGCGTGTGGTATTTTTTTATCACGTTAATTGATTCAAAGTGCTGACTTTAGGAATCTTATAGTTCTTGATCATTCAAGAACACGTTTCTTGATCCAAATTCGCTTTTTTCATATCATAAAATCATGACTTTCCTTGAACCGGTACAGTATCAATATTTAGTTGTTTTGAAGGAATAAATAGTCTTTCTTATAGTTCAGATCATCATTTTTCACCTCGTTTTTGAATCATCAAACTTCGAGTCCTAAAACTTGAGATACGTAGTTTCCTAAAATCTGCCCATAAACCACGTTTTTGTTTTAAGATCTTGATCCTGGTCGGTTGGTTCTTTGTTAACTTGAAGAATCACATCAATTTGGTATCAGAGCTCTAACCCACAAGTCCAAAGGTTGAGAAATCATCATGTCTAAGATTCAACCAAGAGGAAGATTTTTGGTTCAAGAAGATGAAGAAACGAGACAACATGAATCTCTTTTTCACACTAGATGTACCTCCCTTGGAAAAGTTTGTTCGTTGATCATTGATCGTGGGAGTCACGTAAATTTCGTTTCTGAAGAGATGGTTACAAAACTTGGTTTGTCAACCAAATTTCATCCATATCCTTATAGCATCGAAGTTGAAGATGATGATGTTTTAGAGATAACTCGCCAATGCCTAGTATCTTTTTCTATTGGTAAGATCTATAAAGACCAGATTTGGTGTGACGTAGTGAATATGGATGCTTGTCAGTTATTACTTGGAAGACCATGGGTGTTTGATAGATGTGCTAAATATGATAAATACCTTAATACCTATTCTTTTACAAAGGATGAACGTAAGATTATTTTAGTACCATTGAATCCAGAAGAAATTCCTAAAAATATGAAGCTCAATGATGATTCTTTTCTGACCAAATTACAAATAATTGGTTCAATCAATAAAAAAAAGCCTTTGAACATTGGTCCAATCAAGGAGGAGGAGCATGAAGGGGATCTCCAAGTTGAGGATTTAGCTCCAAAGTTTGATGATGATCCATTGGAGCATCCCATATGTGAGATTAACTTTTCACCTAATAGAGATGTTCAACATAATATTAATTTAATTGTTGACTCTATCCTTCCAAACGAGGCAACAAATTGCATTAATCCAGAAGTCCGTGAATTTTTGCAAATACGAGAGGAAGGGTTGCTTAAAAAGGAGTACATAATGGAGGGTTTGAATTCATATTTTGTTCCAATTTTTTTCTTGCCCCAAAGGATGAATATTTTCAAGAATATGTTGGTACAAGAGATCTCAAAACAAATTCCAACAATGGATATGATCTAGTTAAATATGAGAGCATTGTTGTTGATAAATTCTCAAGAAATCATACTTCGATCTCTATGCTTGATCGAAAGGTACTTGAATTTGATTTTTTAAAGATCTAGTTACTTGTGATACTTCGATCTTGATCCTTGTCGGTTGGTTCTTTGTTAACTTGAAGAATCACATCATAATGTCACGATCCAGAATTCTCGCCTTCGGGACCGTGATGGCGCCTAATATTTCACTTGCTAGACAAGCCAACGTTAGAGAGTTCACAAAATCAACTTCAACAAATTTTTAATAATAGAATTTAATTAAGTCAAACAGAAGCTAAACAGAGTTTGCAGAATATTATAAAACCCAAAGTAACTGAAACAGATCTGGAGTAACAACTCACGAGCTACTACGATTTACTACGAACGGAGTTTGAAAGATAATACATTGTTCTGAAAGAAAAGGAATAGTAAAATAACAAGTCTAGGAAAAGACTCCAGGGTCTGCGGACGCCAGCAGATCTACCTTGGTCTCCTGTCGATCAAATCCAACTGCCAAACTCGGGGTCAACTCAGGCCAGTACAAAAATCTACACAGAAAGTGCAGAGTGCAGTATCAGTACAACCGACCCCATGTACAGGTAAGTGCCGAGCCTAACCTCGGCAAAGTAGTGACGAGGCTAGGACAAGACACATACATAAACCTATGCAGTTAAACAATATACGAGCACAATAACAACTAATACAAGAAGAACAGATAATAACAGGAGGGGAAACATGCTGAGGGGATTGCAAGATAAAGAATCACATCAGTAAAGAAATTTAAGAAGCTAGAACACCTTGAACTAGTAATAACAAGTAAACAAAGTAACAGAAAATGCACGCCATCACCCTTCGTGCTCTTACTCTCAACCTCACCAGATAATAAATAGAAACGGCATGGCATCACCCTTCGTACATTAACTCTCTCATAACATGGCACAACATCACCCTTCGTGCTTTGACTCTCAACCTCACCATATAAATCAAATAAGAATAGCATGGAATAATCATTCATGCATTAACACTCTCCCTCACCAAAACAAGGAACAATAATAATAGGGAGATAGAAATGACAACAACAAGTCTTACTTCAATATTTGCTTCCACAATATCAACCTCGCCTTTGAGTCGATACTCAATCAATACCAAAATCCATAAATATGATAAGAAATATCAACATAACAATAAACTAGTCTAAACATGAATAATATGATCATGGAAAGGTACAATTTTATGAATAAGTCTCACTAGCATGTTATGACTTGACAACAACGCATAGGTACTCGTCACCTCACTTATACATTGTACTCAACATTCAAACACATAACAAACAGACAAATAAGACCTAATCCCTTAAACCAAGGTTAACCACGATACTTACCTCGCTTCGCGGGCCACTCAATGCTCAATTATCGCTTTTCCTCTAGTATCCACCTCCAAACCACTCGTATCTAGCCACAATTAACTCAATAATATCAATTATTGCAAAAGGAATCAACTACAATGCATAATTTTAGATTTCTCAAACTTTTCCCCAAAACCCCAAAAATCGACCTGGGGCCCGCTTGGTCAAAACACCGAGGTTCGGACCAAAATTCATTTACCCATTTATCCCCGAGACCGATTATATAATTGGTTCTGGAATCCGACCTCAATTCATGGTCTAAATCCCCAATTTCCCAAATCCCTAGTTTCTACCCAAAAACTCCCAATTCTACCATGAACACCCTAGATTTTAGGTTGCAAATTCATGAAATGCAATGGGTAGTTGAAAGAATATGGTTTAGAATCATTTACCAACACTTTGGAGAAGAAATTATCTCTTGGAAGTCGCCTCTAGGTCTTCGTGTTTTGAAATTTTAGAAAGAATGGCCAAATCTCATTTTTAGTTCGGTTTTTAAATCGTTGGGCAGGCCTTCTTCGCGTTCACGAAGGGTGCTGACCTAGAAGGCCTAAGCATTTGCGAGCCTTGACTGGCATTCGTGTAGAACAACCTACAGATCCTAGGCCACCTCCATTTACTCTACGCGTTCGCGTGATGTCGGTCCCGTACGCGAAGAGCAGACCCACCATTGCTCCGCGTTCGCGACTATGGCCTCGTGTTCGCGTTGAACAAACCCACCCCCAGCCCAGCTTACACTTTGCGTTCACGAGAGTAGCTTCGCGAACGCGAAGAAGGAAACCAGAAACACTGACTATAGCAAAACTAGATTTTTTCCAAGTTCAAAGCATCCCGAAGCCTATCCGAAACTCACCCGAGCCCTCGAGGCTCCAAACCAAACATGCACACAAGTCCTAAATTATCATACGAACTTGCTCGCGCAATCAAATCGCCAAAACACCACCTATAACTACGAATTTAGCACCAAATTGAATGAAATTTTAAAGAAAGTTTTAGAACCTCTATTTTCACAACCGGACGTCCGAATTACGTCAAACCAACAGACAAGTCTTACATATCATTATGAATATGTACCGGGCTCCGAGGGCTCCGGAACCAAAATACGGACCCGATACCAACAAGATCAAATATTAATCAAATTCTTAAAACCATTTAATTTTCAAACTTTCAATTTTTATCAAAAATTCATATCTCGAGCTAAGGACCTCGGAATTTGATTTCGGGCTTACGCCCAGGTCCCATATTTCGATACAGACCCACTGATACTGTAAAAACATGAGTCCGGGTCTGTTTACTCAAAACGTTGAACGAAGTCAACTAAATCAACTTTTAAAGGCAAAATTTATTATTTTCATCAACTTACAAATAAAAGCTTTTCGAAAACTCGCTCGGACTGTGAACGCAAATCGAGGAGGAATAAAATGAGGTTTTAAAGTCCTCGGAACCCAAAATTGAGTTCGAAAACATATGATGACCTTTTGGGTCATCACATTCTCCACCTCTAAAACAATTGTTCGTCCTCAAACGGACATAGAAAAGTACCTGAGCTGGTGGATAGGCATATATTTGCTCCGCATATCAGACTCGGACTCCCAGGTAGCTGCCTCAACAGGTTGACCCCTCCACTGCACTTGAATTGAAGGATAAATCTTCGACCTCAAATGACGAACCTGTCGATCTAGAATAGCTACTGGCTCCTCCTCGTAGGTCAAATCCTTGTCCAACTGGACAGTGCTGAAATCTAACATGTGGAATGGATCTCCGCGATACTTCTGAAGCATGGACACATGAAACACTGGATGTACAGCTGATAAGCCTGGTGGCAATGCAAGTCTGTAGGACACCTCTCCCACTCGCTCAAGGATCTCAAAAGGTCCGATATACCTAGGGCTCAACTTGCCCTTCTTTCCAAACCTCATTACACCCTTTATGGGTGATACCCGAAGCAACACTCTCTCTCCGACCATGAATGCCACATCACGAACCCTACGGTCGGCATAACTCTTCTGCCTGGACTGAGCTGTGCGAAGTCTATCCCGAACGATCTTAAACTTATCCAAGGCATCCTGTACCAAATCTGTACCCAATAACTAAGCCTCCACTGGCTCAAACCATCCAACCGGCGACCGACACCGCCTACCATATAATGCCTCATAGGGAGCCATCTTGATGCTCGACTGATAGATGTTATTGTAGGCAAACTCTGCAAGGGGCAAAAACTAATCCCACGAACCTCCGAAGTTAATAACATATGCACAAAACATATCCTCCAATGTCTAAATAGTGCGCTTGGACTGTCCGTCCGTCTGAGGATGAAATAATGTGCTCAACTCAACTCGCGTACCCAACTTTCGTTGTACTTCCCTCCAGAAGTGCGAGGTAAACTGCGTACCTCGATCAGAAATGATAGACACGGAACACCGTGAAGATAAACAATCTCACGAATATAAATCTCTGCCAACCGTTCTGAAGAATAAATAACTACCACAGGAATGAAATGTGCTGACTTGGTCAGTCTATCCACAATAACCCAAACTGCATCAAATTTCCTCTGAGTCTGTGGGAGTCCAACAACGAAATCTATAGTGATACGCTCCCACTTCCACTCAAGAATCTCTATCTTCTGAAGCAAACCACCAGGTCTCTGATGCTCGTACTTTACTTGCTGGAAATTTAGACATCGAGCTACATATGCAACTATATCCTTCTTCATCCTCCTCCACGAATAATGCTTCTGCAAGTCCTGATACATCTTGGCAGTGCCCGGATGAATAGAATACTGGGAACTATGGGCTTCCTCTAGAATCAACTCATGAAGCCCATCCACATTAGGCACACAAACACGACCCTGCATCGTCAAAATTACATCATCTCCAACTGTAAACTGCTTGGAATCACCATGCTGCACTATGTCCCTAAGGCCAAGCAAATGAGGGTTATCATACTTAACAAAGAAGATCGAGCGACTGTGCAAGCTAAAACACGACTGGGCCCAGAAACATCCAACCTCACAAACTAAATGGCTAAGGCCTGAGCATCTAATGCGAGTGTTCTCTCACCAACTAGAATGTACACAAGGCTGCCCATACTAGCTGACTTCCTACTCAAAGCATCAGCCACCACATTGGCCTTCGCGGGATGATACAAGATGGTGATATCATAGACTTTCAATAGCTCCAACCACCTCCTCTACCTAAAATTGAGCTCCTTTTGCTTGAATAAATACTGCAAACTCTTATGATCCGTGAACACCTCACACGACACACCATTAGATAGTGCCTCCAAATCTTTAGCGCGTGAACAATGGCTGCCAACTCCAAGTCATGAACTAGATAATTCTTCTCGTGAAACTTTAGCTGCCGTGAAGCATATGCAATAACCTTGCCACCCTGCATCAATACTGCACCAAGTCCAATACGAGATGCGTCACAATATACTGTATAAGGCTCTGAACCTGTGGGCAACACCAACACCGGCGTTGTAGTCAAAGCTGTCTTGAGCTTCTGAAAGCTCACCTCACACTCGGCCGACCATCTGAACGGGGCACCCTTCTGGGTCAACCTGGTCAACGAGGCTGCTATAGT